TAAAATGCATAAACATGAGACGCAAGCTATTTTTGCGTTGATTGAATTTTGCTAAGCACGGTGTCCTTGCTTGAAGTAGTTTGAGACTAAATAAGTGAAGACGACTCGTTCAACGACTCCTTAATTATGCGGCCGTTTAACCAAAAGGAAAAGATAGAAAATGTCATTTGTGAAGATCTGAGCAAAGTATAGGTATTAAAAACATTGTTGGTACTAAACGCCCCCGTGTCAGTTAAAAAACAAAAGCATCACTTAATTATGGATTCAAAAAATGTTTGTAATAGAATTCGAAAAAATGTTTTTGTTCTGATTGAGTAAATAGGACTTCAAAGAACGAACGTGCCCGCTGAGGACTTTAAAACATTCACAAGTGATGATAGACGGTATTTAGAGATTCACTTTGCACTTTCAGTCTATACTTTTAGTGTTAAAGCCTTGAGACTTTAATTGTCTAAAGAAGTGGTTAATCAACATATTCCATTGAGAGCCAACATTCTTCATTGCTTCCCGTAAATTTCTTTTCATGCCAGTTCACAAAAGCATAACTTGAAATTATCACTTGAAACAATACTCAGCACTTCAACGATTTTCGTGATTTTCGTCCATTTTTTTGTATGTTTTGAGCGTTCCAGAGAATTAAAAAGCCAATTTCTTCTGCTTAGTTAATCTAGTAATATCTGTTAATCTTAAGCATACGTAAGTGACTCGAATATTGGATTTTATGGCCTTGTCTAAAAGTAGTCTTGGTACACTATCTACGTTGGTTTTCTCATAGATTGTTCTTTAGTTAGTTTTAATTCCTGATCCCCCGGAACTTTTTCTTTGTGTTAAAATTGTGATAATGACTGTTATGAAATTTCACAAACAGCAAGGAAATATGCGGCAGTCAATAGGGGCCATAAAAGCGATTTTTTTTCAAATGCTAATATAAAACAATTAAATCAACACACAAGGACTGAAGCACTTAAGTCTTTCCCGTGTCTACCTTTTTAGTGATAAAAAAGTCAGTACCATACCATCTTTCTTACTCGATTTACAAACATGAAGCTATCGACATCGCTGATCCTAGCAGTATGTAGGACGCGTGTCATTAGGAACTTCGTAATACGCCTCGCTCACCATAGGCTCGGCGGTATTGCATCGAAGCGCGGAATCCGAAGGTCTGAGGTTCGATTCCTCATGGGGACTCAGAATTTTCTTTGTCCCACGCTCGTGACAAGACGAAAAACATCTTTCTCTGTCATGATGAATGTTTTACATTCAGATGCATCAAGTATAAAATATTTCCTCGTGACACGACCGCATCATCACTGATTTAATTTACTAATCGTGTATAAAATAATGCTTGGAGAATTAATAAGAACTACCGTACTTTACTATGCTGTATATGGGCTCTCATTTCATGCCACGAGTACTTGTTATTATTCTCAACCGTACAAAGTCAGCCGTCATACATTGACTGACATAGAGTGATATGCGGCCGGATACTATAAGGGCTTATTAAAAAAACCGGAAGTAAGAGATTGACACAAAATTTGAAGTCACATCTCCCAACACAGAGAGTTGGATACATAACTTCATGATCAATGTTTTACATCCAGATGCATCAAGGATAAAATGTTTCTTATAACACGACCACATCAGCTCTGATTTAATTTTTAATCGTGTATAAAAGAAGGCTTCCACTACTAAGGTAAAGTGTGACTTTAAGAGTAAAGAAAAGTCAAATTTGGGTTGCCTTTACGCTCCCAACATCAAACCTCAGTTATTTGCATTATGTGTTGATCACGGTGAGGAGGAAACTACGCTTCTATTATTACACTTCGTTGACTTTATGTTTAAATTCTATCCAGCATCTTTGAAGTTCTTGCGTGGCCAGTCATGCCATGTCTAAAATCCATCCAGCAGCGCATGTACAACATTGCCCTTGGCTTATAAGCTGTGCCTAGTGCAACCGACAGTTGCGCTTTCTTGGAATTTCTTGAAAAGGGCAACTGCCAGCCTCTTTAGCCAAGTGTTTAGGTTCTTTGAGATTGGTCAAAGTTCACAAGTCACAGCTTCTCTGTAATGTATGAAAGAAAGCTTAGCGATGGAAACAATTTTTTTCACCAACTTCTTATTATTCCGGCTTTGGTGTTGGTTGCAACATGAAGCAATACAACTTGCACCTTCAGGCGGGTCACGTGACTACCTTTGAGGAAGAGGTCATTGAGTCTGAAGACGATGGCATCCGGGAAGATGTGATTTGGGGCGAAGTAAACTGCTTTCATCGAGACATTCAAGCGTAGCCTCCTACGAATGGAACCGGTAATATTTTCTCAACCGCAAGTATTGACGCAAAAGCCAAAACCACACGTTTGCAATCATCCATTATATAAGCAAGAAAAATAATTTACTCAGTAGTTCAGAAGACAACTTGTGATCATCGGCGAAATTATTCATGTGCGTTAGTGAAGCAATGCTTTAACGAATTCAAATAATGATATCTAAATTGTTTCACCGGCTTGGTTTGTCAACAACCCTGTTATATCGAAAAGATTGTCTTTTAAGGTCAAAAAAAAAAAGTTTCCTTTCTCGTCTGGAAGAGGGGCAAGTGTCTGTTCGCCTGGCTAATGCGAATGACTACGACGAGATTTTGGAACTGTCTCAGAATATTAAAGACACCTTCGACTATTTTCCCTTCAGGTTTCACAAATGGCTTGCGGAACCCGACAAAATCGCTGTACAGGGAGTACAAAATTCATCCCAAAAGCACAAAATCAGAGATAAAGAACTGCTTGACTACGATTTTTTAACTTACAAAGTTGACCCAGAGCAAGTCAACTTTGAACATAAGTTACAAAACTGCTCGAAACTTCGACCCTGCCCAAAGGAAGAGTTTGAAAAAAGATTCTGAAAAACGCTGTTACTAGCTCACTATTTCCTAATAATATTCTGGTTATTGACTGGCAGCCGTTTGAAGCCATCCCATCTAACATCGGGTACATCGCACAAGACAGAGATCGATACTTTGTCGATTCGTCAAATGGTTGTCAGAGCCAGTTGCACCCATCGTCTTTCAGTCTGGGAAGATTTGTGCAGGTTGTGTGCGGTATGGTGTGGTCGTCGACTATCTACGCTAAGGATTCAGAGCTTTGTCAGTCCCACGTGATCCATCAATTGATGAGTGCCAACCAAACTGCCAAAGGAAACTTCTTATTCAGCACGTATTAAGATCCTTCCCTCACCAAGTATTGCAGAGAAGTCCTTAACGACATTCCAGGTGTTACGAGGATAAACGATGAAGAACCTTTTCAAAAGATGTTCATCTTTGAAGCTGTACCATGAATTTTTACGCTTTGGAGTAATGGAATACTTTATGCCTTTTTTCAATCTGAAAGACCTCAGTCTGATTTACTTCATGTCTCCCATATTTGTACTAGTTACTTTTCTGTAATTTACTTGGGTTTTCTTGAACAAGTTTGTTAAAATGTTTTTTTTATGTAATTGGCATTAGGTTCTGCTTTTTTTTTAAATTTACTTTCCTAATTATACTCTTGATTTCAAGAAAGCATATGAAAAATTTAACTATATGTTAAATTGAATCAATCGTACTTGTTGTTGTTTATAGCTCCAAGTCTTCTTAAGAGCTTTACATTTTGTTGATGATTTCGGCGAAAATGTTTTTTAACACCGTTATTACTGTTCCTCATTCTCACGGTCAAACATGATAATTCAATCCTGAACACTAGCAGGGAATTTCAAATTCAGTATTTTAAGAAGTGATATTAGGTTATAAAATGATGGATAGCGACTGAATTCAAGTCTTTCGGCTGGTTTGTACGAGGCCAAAGACTCTACATAACAAAGAAACAAACACATTAAAGGATGCATTTCATTTCAATTTTCTTTCACCAAATTCTTGTGTGTATTTTAACAAAATTAAGAAGATGGAAAACACATAATGCATGGTTTGAATTCGTTCACTTATTTTTAGATTTTCCTGGTAAAACCCCAAATGTTGACTGATGTAGTTTAAGATATCCTTGGACCAACAAAACAGATACATTCAAATCAACTCAATGATGCGACGAATCTAATTTTAATTTGAAATAATTTATTCTTAAATGAGTGAATCAAAACTGACGTGAAATCTAATATTTGTGTTTCTAAAGGGTTCAGTATTGATCTGAAAATTTAAGACATTTGGCTTTACCGTTTCTCAGTTGACCTTAGCACTTTCAATTCTCAAGCATGAAGATTTCGATTTTTACCATATGAAAGTTAACGGTTTCATCTGTTGACACCCTTTTAGAATGATTACTGCTGTCTTAATTGCTGGTGTTCGTGGTAAATATGGCTCTTTGCCGATCAAGATGCCTCAGTCTGAGTTTATTTCTTCGGTATTTAGGGAAAGGTTGAGGACGAGTAAAGTATTTTCATTCGGAACTCCATCTCCAATGCTCCATTGAACCGAGTCTTAATTCTCCAACAATTTTACCGAGTGAATCCCTATAAATGTCAAATTATTGAATAGTAACGCCGGAACGCTAAGTGGGCAAACAAGGTAATGAGAAAGTAGATAACATATTTTTGCTACTTTCGTGGACCTTTCCAAAAGCATAGTTAATCGATTAACTATGCCAAAAGAGAGCAAAGAATCGAAACAACTTATTGTTTTGCGGGCATTACGCCATCCCAATTGTGTTCTCACAAACTTTCATCTTAAAACCACACATAACCCTGCGGGTAGAATTACTTGTTGTTAGTGGTATGACAAAGACTGAATCAACTTACGTGCAGTAATTTGGATCGATTGATGCGTGTTATTTAATGACAGTTTCCATGAAGTCAAACATAGCAAGGTCGCACGTGAGGAGATTGACCCTTAATTTTGTTGCGTGATCGCATTCTGATTGTTTACATGCCAAGGTAAAAGTATTACGTCACAGGAACTGTTTTGTCACTTGAGCTCGCAAACGTTATCCTTGAAGCAGAGAGAAGCGACAGCCGCACGTCTGCGTTCGTGCGCTAAAGAAAAATGACAAAAATTTTCTTTTGTTTGCTAGCCACAACAGTTTTAATACTGAGAGATTCTGACCTTAGAGTTTGAGCTCAATAATCAAACAAACAACAAAATAAATCATTTTAAAATCATAAATAATACTATCATATATATACTTCTAGATTGAAACCGGCACAATGCAAATACCTAAGAAACTCAAGGGCGACCATCCAAAAGAATCGTCATCTTTCTGTTTTGCCTGAAACCTGTCCTCCTGAAGCTTGGAGATCATGGAGCTTGTGGTAATAGAAGCCTGACAACCAGGAGAAGAATGTCTTGAAGGGAAGAGTTGGGGCCCCACCGAATAGGTTGGTGGCTGGCTGTAGCTGGCTGCAGAGCGTAGCACACTCAGCGAAAGGCGCCCAAAACTCTCGATCTGTCCATATGTAATCTTCTATCTTTGTTCTCTGATACAATTCTACCTATAGCAAATTCAACTCCCTCTTTTCTTTAACCACTCTAACTTGTATTGATTGATCGACTCTAATTGACTCTTATTCATTCTGAGTAACGTGGGTCGACTTTCTCTCCTCTCTCTTTCTGTTTATAGGTAGGCATGAGTTGGCATACTGGCCAATCGACCTTGGGAAATCAAGAGAGAAAAATGGCTCTTCGACTTGCAAATGCTGGTGATTTCGACGAGATATCAAAGCTGTCTAAGAGGATGGAAAACAGATCGATTCGACTTCGTCCCCATACAAGTTCAAGAAATGGCTCGCGGAACCCAATAGAATAACTATGGTTGCTGAGAAAGGATCGAAAATGGTGGGATTCATGAGATGCAGCGTCGTTGACGGGAATGAATCAATGGTTATTGAAGCTACAAGAGTTGATCCTAGTCACAGACATTAAGGCATTTACAGTTCTCTTATTAGTTTTTTGATTGGCCTTACCCGGGAAGAAATTCCTACTTTGGTGCGTTTAAGGTATTCACTTTGGTCTGGTATTTACAAAGCAGTCAAACATTCAGCCATAGGCACAGGACGAAATTGCAAGAATCCGTAAACGGAAACGTGGCAGAAACATGTTAAACCGTTCCAGAAACACGACGGATAACCTGTGTTTCCGTTACCGGTTTCGTGACGTTTTCTCGCGTTTCCGTTGCTGCGTATACAACGGAACCGGACCACTTTTACGTAAACATAACGGAAACATGGAGTTGCATGTTTCCACCACGTTTCAGAAATACGGAAACATGTGATTTCGTCCTGTGAGGACTTCAGATGGAAGATAAAGAACTGCAGTGTTGCGATTTCTAGCCTACAAAGTTGAGTCAGAGAAAGTCAATTTTGGATACAAGTTACAAAACGGCTCCAAACCTGTGCTGTAAACAAAGGGTGCATTCCTCGCTATTTTCTAATAATATTCTTGTTTTTGACCGACATATTTTGAAGCTATCCCATCCAGTATCGATCACATCTTATCGGATCAGGATCGATATTAAATCAAGCGGTTTTCATGTCAGCTTGACCTCAATGATCAAAGTTAAGGACTCGAAGCTTTGCCTGTCAGTCCTTATGTGATCTATCAGTTGATGAGTGCCTGTCAAACTGCACAAAAAAGGTTTCTATTCAGCACCTATCAAGATCCCTGTCTTAATGAGTATTGCAAAGAAGCTGTGACGGACTTTCCATGCGTTAAGAGTATGAGCAATGGTGGGTCTATCCAAAAAATGTTATCCTTGAAGTTGCGGTTGAGGCATCACAATCGATGAAATAGAAGTAGCAATAATAATATACTTTGTTTCCATACGTTTTTTTTAGGGATGTTGCTGGTTATTACACGCACGACTTAAGTGTTATAGAGAAGTTAATTAAGTAATGCTTACTTTACATATTACGATGTGACAACGTTACAAAAAAAGGAGAGAAAAAGAAAACCGTTTGTTTAGAAATCCACCGATCTGAGTAATCAGTCTGCGCTTTTTGTGTGAAAAGTAGAGTCGTTTGTTACTTGATGTCGTTACCAACAACAAACATAATCCTCCTGACTTTCAGCCATCATTCTTTATTGCTTCCTGTACATTTCGATTCATGCCAGCTCACAAAAACAAGAGTAAATTACTTCAACTCTTTTGGTGATTTTTTTCCCCTCACATATGGGAACAGTCATTTTTTTTAGAATGTACACCAGTAGTAGAGTATTCTCTTTTGAGCTTCTTACATGAAAAAAAAAAGTGAGATTTACATTTACATGAACAGGGAAGAATCCTGCCAGAATTTTTCAAAAGAGAAATGTCAGTACTTGTCTTGAAAAATTATTGGCTAACTATCATAGACTTTAGATGATTTTTTTCTTAATGAAAAATGCTACGACCGAATTAGCCAAATTAAATTCAACTCACATTTTACTACGAAACGTGTATTTTTGATTGACGTATGTAAAAGTATATGGATTCTCATATCATGCCAAGAGTTATTGTTACCATTTTTCATCATTCAAAGTCAGCCCGTCATATATCGATTGAAATAAAGTGATCTGTGGCCGGATATTGAACTGGCTACGTCAGTTAACCTTTGTTTTTTTTCGCAAGAAACCGGAAGAAAGAGACTGATACAAAATTTTTGCCAATTTTCAGAGTCACGACGTTCTCCAGTATAGTGAGTGAGGTCACATCGCCTTCAAAAAGGTTATGTACATGGCATCATGATCAATGTTTTATACCCACAACAGTCGATGATTAAATCCTTTCTTAGAACATGATCATATCAGCTCTGGTTTAATTTTTGATCTTGTATAAAGAAATGTTTATACTGATTAAAGAAAAGTGTAATCGGATGAGTCAAGCACGTTGCGCGTTTTCGAAAACGATAACAAAGTCGCTTGGCCTATCTAACGTCCTCAACATCAAAATTTAAGAATTTAGTTTGTCTGTTAATAACGAAGAGAAGGAAACTAAGCCACCGATATCAGACTTCGTTGACTTTACGCTGAGATTCTAACCAGCATCTTTGAAGTTCTTACGTGGTTAATCGTGTCATGTCTCAATTCCATCCAACATGTAAGACATACATCGATGCACTTGGCACAAAAGCCTTTCCGCGGGTGGCTGACAGTTGCGTTTTTCCGAGAATTTCTGGCACGGCCAGCTTCTCAAGATTCTGGGTTTTCGAGATCACTCTAAGACCACAAATCACGAATAATCATTCTTGCAAGAAAAACACTTATAAAAAATGAAAGGAACTTTTTTCATGGCTACCTTTATGTTCTTGCTATCTTTTGTAACATGATACAAGCTATCGCAATTGTGCCTTCAGTCAATCTATCATGGCTAGACGTGACTACTATACACTTAGGGGAGAGATCACTGTGTTTAAGGCGTCGTCACTTGGAAAGACATGAATCGAGGGAAATAAGCCAATCCCAAATAGATATTCACAACTTAACCTTTCATAACAGGAAATGACGTTCCCTGTTACAGATATTGACGTAAGAAGCAAAACTCTGCGTGTGCAAGTATCCAATATAAAAAGAACTAAGTTTCTACGTAGCTTAGAAGACAACCAACAATCAAGAACGTTGTTATCAAGAATCGATTTGGGCGGTTACTGACGTGCTGTTTTTTACAAATTCAAACATGGGTTCAAGACTTTTTCACCGTCTTAGTTCTTCAGCAGCCCTGTTTAGTCGAAAAGATTGTTTTTTCTGGACAAACAAACGTCTAATTTCCTGTCTGCAAGAAGGGCAAGTGGTTGTGCGACTTGCAAAAGCAAGTGACTTTGACGAGGTACTTAAACTGTCTAAGAAACTTAATGACACGTTTGACTATGTCCCCTACAGATTTCATAAATGGCTTCTGGAGTCCAACAGAATCTCTTTGGTTGCCGAAAAAGGGACAGAGGTAGTTGGTTTCGAAGAATGCTCCATCGTCGATGGGGAAAAATCAGTGCTTGTGGAAGCTGGAAGAGTTGATCCTAATCACAGACGTCATGGTATACTCGGTTTACTAAGGGCTCTTACACCTGTGCTTATCCGGGAAAAATTCCCAAAAGTTGTGCGTACCAGGTACACGGTGTGGTCTGGGGCTTATCAAGGAGTGAGAAAAACGAACCAAAAGCATAACATCTGCGATAAAGAACTGTACCACTATGATTTTTTAACCTACAAAGTTGAGCCAGAACATGTCAGTTTGAAATACAATTTAGAAAACCGTTCGAAACTTCAACCTTGCCCAAAGGAAGAGTTTAAAAAACGCATTCTGGAAAACGCCAGTACCAGCTCTCTCTTTCCTAATAACATGCTCGTCATTGATTGGCAACCGTTTAAAGCTATCCCAGCCAACTTCAAATTCATCGTACAAGACCAGGATCGATATTTCGTCGATTCGTCAAACGGTCTTGCGAGAACTTTGACATCTTTTAGTTTGGGAAGATTTGTACAGCTTGTTCGTGGCATGATGTGGACATCGACTATCTACGCTAGGGACTCAAAGCTATGTCAGTCCCACGTGATCCATCAATTGATGAGTGCCTGTCAAACTGCAAAAGGAAGTTTTCTATTCAGCACCTTTCAAGACCCATCACTTACAAGGCATTGTGAAGAAGCCCTAACGGACATTCCGGGGGTTACAAAGATGAAGGAAGAAGAGTCTACCCAAAAGATGTTTATCTTTGAGGGTGAATAGCAAGATTAAGATAATATAATCGATGAATCGATTGTAGCAGCAGCTAGTTCCATGCTATTTTACGTATGGAGGTTAGGAAATACCTCTCATGTATAAATACCCTTTCTCAATCTCCAAGACCTCTGATTTTCTGCTGGCGTATCTCTAATATCCCTTTTACTGCTTTTTATATTGTTATGTTTCCTTGAACAAGTTTGGTTAAATGTTTTGTTTATCACAAATTTATACACAGCTAGGTTTAGATTATCCTTAATTTATTTACCTACCTGTTTATACTCCTGATTTTACCATGTTTCTACTATCATTTTTATGTCCTTGATGATGTTAATTAATACCTCTCGCATGCAGTTTTTAAAAGAGACTATTCAACTATTTCAATGTTTATGCCTTAAAATACTCTCACACAGATTTGTACATAATCGGAGTAATCATCGTTCCATGTAAATGACGTACACTTACAGACTTATTAGCATTTTTCACTTTAGGTATTTGTTTTTCTAAATCTAATTTGGTAGATTTCAGATCTATCATTCACTAAATGTAGCACAACATCTTCCTTTTCTCATTTTTCAATCAGTTATTGGTATTTTTATTCTCGGATATTGATTTTAACGCTAGAGCCTGGATGAAGATCGCTCTGTATAATTCTGGTTTACTTGGTCCGAATAAAGTGTTGTTGTTGTTGAGGTTGTTGTTCTTGTTCTTGTCGATAACCTTTATTGTTGGTTTCGTGAAAAATGGTATTGGAGACTTACATTCCCTCAGTCAATCATAAAAAGCTCATCTTGAACGTAAAAGAGAAGAGCTAATCTCTTCCCTTCCTCTAACATTCCTTTTAGAGAATTGTTTTATGCCGGAGAATGTCGGGTTGCGGGCTAAATATCAAAAGGTGGCTTTTGCAATGCCGATGAATATTACAAAGCCAAAGAAAGGAAACAGAAATCACAAAGATTACATTCCTCTTCAAGTTTCCACCACCAAATTTTCGTGTTTATTTCCATGCATCGAAACAAATGGAAATTTTGAGTTAAAGCGGTAAAGCGTACTACGCCTATCGAAAGGCATCAAGGACTTACGACCTGAACTTTTTCAGTATTATTGAATCTGTTTTCCTGAGATTAAACATGGGCTTTCAGAACAACAATTCGAACACCTTCGCAGAAATGTCGCACATGAACAACAATGTACTTAATGATCAACTGAAAATCAATCCTCGACTGCCAAAGATAAAACAAGAACTTATGTGCGGGTCCATAATATATAGATTTAGCCAAGCCTAAAAGCGGAGCTCTTATTAGTTTATTTTCCAGCCCTACGTTACACTAAATAAAAACTGTAATAAAACTCTTCAGCACTGGCTGTAAAGAGAGTTTCTTCAATGAATTGAAAGACCAGTTCAGGGGGTGGGTAGGTGGGGAAGAATTGACGAAGTCTGGATCTGGGGA